GGTAATAAAAACATAATATATAAAAAGCTAAAACCGACTAAGAAGCCACGTACTATAAACGTGATTAGGAAAATTATAATACTCGTTCTAAAAACAGTTAAAAACTACAATCGTGCACTATAAGCCAGGTTCTAAAAAGCTACAGTCGTGCAATTTACTTCTGAAGTCATTAGCCTCTCTTGAAAGACGCACTTGAAAAGGCAAACTGTTCCATAACTTAGTTGATGAACAAGTGAAAGAATTCTTCTTAAATTTAAGATTAAAGTTAGGTAATTCCAAATTCACGCCCTCGCCTCTTAGCCTATACGGTGTATGCCTGTACATGTATTTAAAAAGGCTTCCAATATAAGTAGGTCCCGTACCATTTAAGCATTTAAAAAGAAGTATTAACGCCTGGTGTAAGCGCTTACAATATAAGGATTTCATGCTAGCCGTAGTGAGCAGCTCGTCGTATGACATTGACTTGTTGTGCCCGATTAATGTTCTCAAAATATAACAGTTGCCATCTTCGAGACGGTTGCGTTCACCTGTACCTATGCCTACAAACAAAGGACTGCAGTATTCGAGATGAGGTAATATAAATGCTTTATAAAGTTGTATCATTGCATCATGAGGAAGAAAACGCCTTATTCTTCTCAGTGCAGAGGCCTTCGCGTAGGCTTTGTTGATCTGATATGTGTTCTTTATAGGATAGGTCCTTGTCTAGAGTAACTCCGAGAGTCTTAATAGATCGGAGAAATTCTATTCTAGCATTATTAAGAAATAAAGAATAATGATAGGCACAGGGTCTGACAGATAATGCTTGCCGTTCACTGTTAAATGGTTAGACTCAAACCACGACGAAAGAGTCTGAAGATCTTTGTTGAAGGAAAATTCCAGAATAGTGGGAGATACATCAGACAGGTACGCAGTCGTGTCATCAGCGTACAGCCGCAATGAGATATTAGGAACACAGAAATTCAAGTCATTAATGAATATGTTGAACAGCAACGGCCCCAATAGTGAACCTTGAGGAACGCCAGATTTAACTGTTTTGAAGTTAGAGCATACGCCTTCTAATCTGACACATTGTTGACGACCTAGCAGGTAGATGGACATCAGTTCCAAGGCATGTGGAGAAAAGCCATAGGCCTTCAACTTTGCGAGCAGGAGGTTGTGGTTTATGGCATCAAACGCTTTGCTCAAGTCCACAGCGACTGCCGCTACAGCTTCCTTGTTATCAATACTGTTCCTCCAATCTTCCGTCATTTTAAGCAATGCAGTGCAGCAAGAGTGAGTTTTCAGAAATCCAGATAAGTTTGAGGACAAAACGCTATGAAATGCATTCCAAGTTTGGTCGTAAATAACTTTCTCAAATACCTTCGATAGCGAAGTTAATATTGAGACAGCGCGGTAGTTTGCTTTGTCTGTGTCAATCCCCCGTTTAAAGACAGGAGGAAGGCGCGCTTGCTTCCATTCAGACGGCAATGAGCGATTCAGAATACAGAAGTTGATCAACTTAGTCACCTCTTCGGCAAGAACTGGGGATCCTAAACGCAAGATTCGTGGTGAAATGCCATCTACCCCAACTGCCTTTCTCGGATTAAGGTGATCTAAGATGTTACGGATATATGAAGTACTGACTGGGGAGTAATTAAACTCACTTGAGAAACGTAGATTGCTTATTTCTAGGATACTAGGATGGTCAGTGTGGTCAGTGTCAGATCTACGCTCTAACTGAATAATATTGGCAAAGTAATCACTAAAGACTTCGGCCACACACCCGAGGTCGGAAACAACACTACTGCCCTCAACGAGGATGACGCCTTGTACGGAGGATGACGCCTTGTTATGAATTTCTTGTGAAAAAGGAGCCAGATTCCCCCCTCTGGGGCAGATCACGGTTTTTAAAAGAAATTCAAAATGACGGACGGATATAATGTGTATTTCTATCTATGTAACAACAACAACAACAACATCTCATATTTATCTGCACCATCCTGCACTAACCTAAAACTACGTGCAGCATACTGAAGTAATTGGCTCCAAACTGCAGCATCCTGCACCAACCTTCACCAACCTGCACTAGCTTGCACAATTTTGCACTAGTCTGCACAATCCTGCACAATCCTGCACAATCCTGTACCATCCTGCTCCAATCTGCTCCATCCTGCTCATACCTGCACCTACCTGCACCATCTTGCGGCAGTCTGCACCAACGTGCACTATCCTGCCCCAACCTTGACCAACATGTACTATAACTTGTACCTTCGTTTAACATCCTGCACCAACATGCACCAATCTGCACCATCCTGCACTAACTTTTACCATCCCTCACAGTCCTGCTCCATTCTGCACCAATCTGCATCATCCTGCACCAACTTGTATCATTCTGTATCAGCTTGCACCATTCTGGGCAAGTCTGCACCATCTCGCACCAAACGGCTCCATCCTGCACCATGCTGCACCAACTTTTACTAACCTTCACCATCCTGCACCATCCTACACTATCCTGAACCAACCTACAACATCATGCACCATCCTGCACCAATCTGCGCCATCCTGAACTGACCTGCAGAAAAATGCAGCGACCTGCACCATCCTGCTTTAATCTGCACCAACTGTCACCAACCTTCACCAACCTTCACCAACCAACACTAACTTGCAGTATCTTGCACCCTACTGCACCAAACTGCACCATCGTGCACCAACTTTCACCATCCTGCACTTACTTGCACCTACCTGCACTTTACTGCAGCAATCCGCACCAACCTGCATCAACTTTCACTAACCTGCATCAACCTTTACTAACTTGCACCATCCTGAACTATCCTGATCCAATCTGAAACACCCTACTTCATACTGTATCATCCTGCAGCAATCTACACTGTCCTGCACCATTCTGTACCATTCTACACCATCTTGCCCCAATCTACACCATCCTGCAGAATTATGAGATCAATATTCGCGCCAGATATAAAATATAAATCATCTTGGTGTTCCTGTTTTCAAAATACACTTATTTCCTGCCGGAAAAAATCTAAAATGAAGTTAAACCACAGTGAAATACGTTACTTTAGCTTACTCATTATTCATACGGACTCAAAGCCTGCTTCATCATGTCTTTCGTACGGAATGCCACATTGGACTGATAAGGATTTATTCCCCTTTTCTTGACATAATTAATCGAACGTTTCATTTTTGGTGTGCAACGAACGCTTCCTTTTGTCATCCAGGAACTGCATGTAACAAATGAACGCCAACTGGAAGTCAGCCAAAGACAGTTGTACTCTGGAAGACAACTATGCCAAGATGGAGTATTTCTGTCAATGAAACCTGAAAATCGACGAATCATTGAACGGTCCTACCTAGGGGTCAAAGGTGTCATCGCTATTATTTAAATAAGGAAATATCTAGGGCAAACATGCATAATTTTAGGAATATAAAAATTTATTTGGGGCATTTGGAAAAATACTTAACTTTCTATTAAGGAAGAAAAAATGCAATCTAAGCATAATACATGGTCGGAAAAGGGGTGTTCCAGAATGGTTGAGGTTTGAGTTGGTGAAAGCTGTATGTGTAGGTCATGTTCCTTAATCCGTTCGTTCATTCGCCTCCCAATTCGAGTATTCGTAATTTGTCGAACTCGAGGCTATGGAAAGGGTAGGAAAGATGCTGCTTTCGAACAGGCCAACGGCTCAAAATGTCACATCATCACAATTAATTTAGACTAGCTCGTTTCGATTGGCGGAATAATGCAATTGACTTAAATCGTGCTAACTCCTGGTTAGCGATAGATTTTTTAGAGGCCGCTTACAGTATCTTAGACTACGTCATCAGTGAGGTAAAAAAGCGTGTTAAACACACTAGATAAGATGAGATAGGATAAGAACCTTTATTCAAGTGTCAGAGTATTAAGCCCAAAGAGACTAATGAAATATATCCTGAAAAGTTCAATTTTCTAATTTTGTTCCTAAAACTGGCTAAGCTAGTTAGAAGCTTCTGGTAGGAGTCTTTGTTTAGTTTAGACCATAAGAAGGGACCTATATATCTGATCGAACCATACTTGACTTTATACATCAATACTACGATGTCTTGAAGTCTGTTATACAACGTGGGACGGTTAGCCCTCTCTAAGAGTTCTTCATACGTATCCGAGTGGGATCTACATATGGCTCGACTCAATGCCCGTTCTTGTATTCGTTCTCCCTTCCTTTTGTCTGACGACTTACAAAAATGTCATATTAGGTGGAGAATATGTAAGTTTGGGCAAAATAAAAGCTTCATACAGCAACAGCTTAGCCTTAGATGGTTTTAAATATCTTAAACGACATAGTATCCCGACTTTTGGCTAGTCTTAATATACAGCTCACTTATATGCTTCTTTTAATCAAGGTCGTCGTCGATGTGGACTCCTAGTAGTTTAATGTCCTCTGATTTGTTAATGGGTAGGCCATCCAGGCTTAGCACTGCATCACTCGTATCTCTTGGGTTGATACTTGGGAACTGAAACCTCTCTGGGTTAGCTGATAAAAGGTTACTTGACTACCATATCAGAGCTTGCTTGCTGCTTGTTTTCAGTTGCTGTCTAACTATTTCGTGATTTGTTCCCCTCACATGCAATTGATGGTCATCCGCGTACGTGGCTATGTTTCCATTCTCGACATGCAACGGTAAATCATTCTGGAACGTGCTCCAGAGTAAGGGCCCAAAGGATGATCCTTGCGGACATCCACGTTTCATAGGTTTCCAAATGCCTGTAATTTCACCCAGTTTTACCCTGTTTCGTCTGTTTTCAAAAAACGATCGCGTCAAATCGAGACATCCACGTCCAAAGACAAAACATACTTGGTAAAGAAGTCTAGTGTGTTAATGACTGAAGGCAGGTACAGATTGAGAAGTTTAAAGTATTTTTCCATGTTACTGGTAAAAAGAATGGCTGGTTGGCGAACTGCAATCCAGCGTTTTTAATTTTGGGTATTCAGCGCAGCGTTAGGTGGTACTCCTTCATTAAATTGTCCCGGCAAAACTCTGGTTGCCGTGACATTACTAAAGGAGAAATTCATCACCTGCGACCTGACATTTTCGATGGTGTTTTGCTGGGATTGGAAAAAGAGAATGTAGATTCTGGGCCCGAACATGCATCCCAACATACCAAACGAAGTTACTAAAGTCGTAGTACAAGATACAATTGTCACGTACCAGCTCTCAAAAGCAAACAGCACAGGGTAATATGTCAGCGATGACAACAGTAGAATGTACATAGAGAATCCTATGTATTTTGTCTCGTTGAAGTTCTCGGGAATTTTTCTTGCTTTGAAAGCGTAATACGTACACAGGAAAGCCACAATGAGCATGTAAGCACAGACTGCGATGAACAGTGCAAGGCCGAGATTGGTGTCAAATGGTTTGCACGCAAGAAAGATGTACTCATCTACACGGATGACTTTATTACGCCTTGGGGGGTCAAGAAAGATCCACAGGGCCATTAAACAAAGGACAGCTAAATTCATACCTGAGAGAAAAATACCCTGCCTTGTTAGGGTTTTGTAACACGGTGTAAACAACTGCGCCACTTTATCGACCTCAAAAACGCTTGCTATTCGCATAGTTTTCAAAAAGAGCACTGTGATACAAAGATTGAGACCAAAATAGCGCCAGAAATATGTTGCGTTGCAAAGTGAATGGCTGGGCTCAGAAAGTTCAAGGACGGCTAAAATAAAGAGAGCTGAGATACCAAATAGCAACAGAAAAGAGATCTCTCTGTTAGAGGCCTTTACGACTGGGGTGTTGAAAAACTTGATGTAGGTGCCTCCAACTAACAAAATGAAAATATAACCCATGGAAGCCACCACTGTTATGGTAATTCCCGAGACATTTGAATGCGTGATGTTGATGATTGGTAACTTTTCACACTTACTGCGCCCTTCGTTTGACTTTGTCTCTGGGTCACACTTAGTGCAGCTAGTGGATCCGACTTTGGTACTGACAGTTCCCATTGGGCATTTAATACACTCCCAGCAACATGGCGAGGTGATTTCCCTTCTGGTACCAGGTAAACATTCTGATGAACAAGAGGATAACGGGGTAAAGGGAGTTCTCCATCGTAGTCTGGACAAATCTACTTTGAGTTTGGGCGTGTTTTCTTTGTCCCAAGCTCCAACTAGAATATTTTTGCGTGCTCCGTCTGTGGTTGAGTCAAGCTGGAAGTTTATGATGGCGTAGGAAGCTCCTAGAGGATCACCAAACTTGTCAAATCGCACCTTACCAGTCAAGCCGTCAAAACTAATGTTTCTGAGATATTTCTCCAGATCACGTCCCTTGACAGTTGGCTTGACTGGAGGACACTTTCCTCTTTTACCAGCACTATGTATAGTAAGAGAACAGCGGTAAATGTTATCTAGGGCATGTGCAATAGCATATACAGCGTCAATGAGATAAGAAACGAAGGAGCCGCGTATCTTGTGTAATGCGTGGTGTAACGTTAGATTTGCTTCGCAAGGTGCGACCCCAGAGTCATTGGATTTCAAGGCTGAACAATTGAATTGTAATCTCCAGAACTCTTCCCACCAGTCTGCGCCTCTTTCAATGCTTTTGGCAGGGGTAATCGTCTTAAGGTGCTCTTCAAATTCGGGAGTGGGATAGTCACGTGGCTTTACTCCCAAGGAGCCGTTTAGAATTGTCAAGTGAGGGTCAAGAAACACTGCCTCTCCCGCGGTCAATGCGTCGCTAAGTATCCAAGTCTTTCCTTCAAGATTTTGCGCAGTTGCTTCTGCAAAAAATGCACTTCCGTAACCGCCATAAAGCCAAATAATGATCACTGCGACTTCAGACCTCCTTTTAATCTTGAGAACAGTTTGCTTTGTTTTATCCCAATGGCCTAGCCGTGGAATATACTCAGAGAAAGCAATGCAAAACGTTTTCCGGTTGTAGGATTCTTTTTCCAGCGCTGAAATCCCGTTCTGTCCATAAGAATCATCCAACCCGACAGCCGCCACATAAGTCCAGTTAAAGAGCTCTAGGATGTCTGCTATGACCTCCGCTTGCCATTGGTCTGGTGGAACTGTTCTGAAAAAGTCTTTGTACATTTGTGAACTCAACTCATCGCTTGTTGCACTCTGGCTGAAGGCGGGAATGCCAAAAACCTGAAGCAGACTTCCTACTAGTACTGCGCTTCCGGAATCAGCAGGGCCAACTAATGCTGAGATGGTCTTGGTTTTGGTTTCCTTGACATAGCCTGTGGAGGAGATGCTAATGTTTTGGTTAGACATATGTACTGGATCGCCACTGCATATGAACATGAGGTCATAGGCCATCTTCATGGCCTGAGCATTGCTCCCACAGTAGTCCCTTAAGTCGTAGCCGATGGTCACGTTAGGTAAAATAGTGGAATTCTTGTTAATTTTCTCAATAGTGAAGATCGTAGCCTCCGCGTATCCCAGCCCTGTGGTAAAAAGCTCAGTACATTGATCACTAGTGCCATAATAGTGGATGTCGAGTAGACCACCAATGATAACGTCGCCATCTTTATAATTTCTATAGCCATCGTTAGATGATGTTAGTGGAAGAAATAGTAGCATAAAAGAGAGGCGGTCTTAAGATGCATGAAAGCATTATGTTTTTCCTCCACTTCATCGGCCTTGTGTGGTTTGCACTGAAACAAAGCAAAGGAATATAGATTTAACTTTGCGAACAGTTTCAAGAAAAAAAATGCGTTCACAAAGAAGAACGGCTTTCCCAACTACAATCAAACATTTATTGTGCAAACTTGTTTTGAGCGGTAACTTGTTTAAAAGTTCCCGATATCGTTTCTCTAAATTTTTGTAAATCTGGCGTATACTAAAAGACCTTCACATATTATTTTTAGCATTCAAAGTAACCTTTTTAACTCGGAGTTACCCGAAGGGTAGTCTGCGATTTATATGGGTCTTTACAGTGTTGGCTGCCATGTGCAAATGAGGTATCTCATGCACTTTCTTTATGTGGACACTGTTACATTTGTGTCAACGGTAATGCAAAAGGAGTATGATGCAGTCTTCACATGATGCATTTCTCCGTAATATATTATCGAATTGGTTTGTGATGTCATCACTTTAAAGATGAATGCATTGAGTAAACGACTCGATCAATCTCCCGTCTTTGGGGAAGATACAGACGTGATTTATTTTGCACTCTTACGATTTGAAAACCCAGTTCGACTTTACAGTACCTTCTTTGCAGTTTTTACGGCTGAATGTGGTCTTGCAGTCAGTTCATTTTTGTCAGTTTCTTTGGTGGAGAGGCGTTAGTATTAAGCTTAAGCTTATATCATTATCAGATAACAGGCGAATTTTGGATAGACTCGACGGCGTGAGATTTCTATTCATTGTACAGGTTATTGAGAAAGTTCAAAAGAGAACTCAGTTTTCTCTTTGTAGGCAAATGAACTAGCTTTTCGTTATGAAATTATGAAATTGTTCCTCCCCACCCCCTCCCCGCTCTTTTACCTGCGCCATTTTTCGCGCTGTCATTGACTCCTGTTCCTCTTTCTTTGCTCCTAAACCGTACAGAAACGCTTGCTACGCAGGCTAACGGAAATCTAAATTTGAAAGTTGAAGTTCTTCCTCACTGGGAACTAAACCAAGTACGTGAAAACTATAATTAACAGTGCCTTATGCGAAAATTTTGGAAAGGACTGAAGGCAGGCTCGGATCGTTCGACTTCCTTCAAAACGTTGAGTCAATGTCGCTACGCTTAAATGAGGTAAAAAACACGGCCGCTGACAACAGCGAGAAAATATGAAGAAGTACCGATCATTTTTCAAATAATATTAAGGATGGATTTCCTAGACCAATAAATACTTAAATTTTGATCACCAGACCGTTCTGTGTACTAAAGTCAGCCTATTGTCGTTTGCATATGGTTTCTTAGATGAAACTTTCAAAAACTAACAATTAAGTTATACCCATAAAGCTGAATCTCGTTAAGCTACAAAAGCGGCATTTTTCCTGACGTCTCATATCTTATCTTGACGCCTCTGTTTGAGAGACGATCTGCTCTAAAGTGACTGAGGGTTTGGACTTTTTATCGTTAGACGAATTTCAAGCCGTTATCCTCTTGTTTGGTTTTAAATTTCAGAAAGAGTGAAGAGCCTGAGTAACTTTACTTTCTGAAATAAACTACGTCCTATTAACCCTCGCATTTTATGTAACCTTCTTTGTGTTAGCACCTTAAATCAGTGAAAATCGTCATCCGACGTTAATGCTAACTAATTTTCGCTTTTCAAGGTAGTATCCATTATTATATATTATCAGTTGGATAAAAGTTTTTATGTTTACCTGCAATTGCTCTATTCTTCACTATTTGTTGTTCCTGTCAACTTATGGACGCCATTTCCAGAGAAAAGAGACAAACCCGATAACTATATTTCGTCCTACTATTCCCTTTTTTCCTTGAAGAAACTACTATTAGGCGAATTCAAATCAGGCAAGATACCACTGACAACAAAACACCTTGATCAAGAAAGCGCACAATGTTTGTTAAGTTTCAAAAGGATTAGAGAGGCCTGGTGCTTCTGATCGAAATAAAAACATCCAAAGCTCAAATTATATATGTCAGCACTTCAGTGATGATTAATAGTCCTCGTCTAGTGTTGATTAATTTCTGGTTGTTCGTTAATGAGAAAAGACAAGTTTAATAACTTTATTGTAGATTAAAACATTTGTTTTTCATCCTGCACCTGGCAGAGTAGTTGTTAGTGAAATTAAAACTCTGTTCCCTAAGGAAAATAGAATAAAGCAAAGAAGCATTTATTTCTGGAACAGCTAAAATTTATATCCAATTTTCATGGCCAGAGTAGCTTTGAGTAAAAGACGAATCTTGGTAACAGCTGTATTTCATTTTGTGGCGGCGAAACGTGAACACGAAAGGTTAAAAATGTAAAGCAAATACATTTCTAGATCTAGCATCAGTTTTTACTCTTAAATTCACCTGTCAACGTTTTGACCAATTCAAAACTAGGTTGGTCCTGGAGTGGGAGCAAATGCGTTAACAATCTCAACGCAAAATCTTTATGCATTTTGGAAAGCTTTTCTCGTAAGTCAAACACAAGAAACTTAAAGATTTTAAAGGAGTAACTGTAATGGGTGCTTCTAAAGTGGTTAATTTTCTCGCCAAAACAAAGCTACAAGTCTGGAACGCCTTCCTGTCCCCTTTCTCCCCTCCTAAGGGGCCAGTCATTATTTATCACTTTGGGGGGGATTGGAGGATTTTTTGGGGGGGTTGGGGTGGGGGATTTTTAGGAGAACAGAGGGGGAATCATTCGTAATTGAGAACCCAAAAGGGAGGATTATTGAACAAAAATTTCTAATAATTCAGAGGGACCACTCAAATCTGTAGGAAAATGCCAGTTTCGGAGTATATGAAATATATGCGTTTATTCTACTGGGAGATAAAAGTGTTTGCAGTCTCAATTCGTTCTAACCGCAACTTTATTTATAAAGCGCAAGTCTGTTACACTTTCGAAAGTGTTTACATTTCAATTTATTTGGAGAACGTTTTGTGACACTTTTATATTTACTCTTTTATAACGTGCTTATACCAAATAACTGAACCATTGTGAAATAGCGTCATCGCCTCTCCAAGAATAGGCACTCTTTCTCAGCGCTATACTTAATGATGATGAACTTTATTTACGTGTCGAGAGTATTTAGCTAATGAAACAAACTGGAGAAACTACATATAAATATTTAAAAATTAAAAATAATATAGCTAAGATTAATAATTTACAGTAAAACTCTAACAACCTAGGAACTACGTACTTATGTCATTAATCATTAATATAACAATAAGTAAAAAGCGTTCTAGAAAGGCAAGCCTGGCAATTACAACTACAGTTAAAAGATTGTAGGCTAGGTTTACAGCGAAGGTTTTTTCTCATCTTTCGCCAAAGATGGGGTCTAAGATACCTTATACTATGTCTTCGATAAGAAACAGTGTTAAATCCGATTCAACCACCTCATCTGTCTGATCTTGAGTCTCATCATCCCATATTTCTCCATTTGTGTCTTCCTCCTCATCATCTGATTTAGTCCGGCCATAAGGCAGGTTGACCTTGTACTTTAAACTCTTAAAACGGCTGCTACAGTTCTAGATTTTACTGATCAAGGGTGGATTTAGGGTTCGGCCAAGTGAGCCGCGGCCACCCTTTTTTCTGTGAAATTTTATATTGTTTTTAATGAATTATCAGTAACACATATATAAATAGCATCTAATTATAGCTGTCACGTTTCTCGACCACCCCTTTCTGAATTTTCTGGATCCGCCCCTGAGCGACGTGCTAACAATACTTCTTTTTAGTAGGCACATATAAGTGGATATAAGATTCATAGGAAAGGCAGCATTGATGTCAGTTAATTAAGGTGCTAACCCACTCTATTTGTTAAACAACAAATGAGATGTCTTAGCACCTTAATTAACTGAAAATCGCCAACGTTCACAAGTGCCAATAAATTCCACATAACTTAACGCGACGGTTCATAGGACTTGAATTATTCATAAAGTCAAGTTACTCTTTTTAAAATTTATGACTAAGGGAAATTATTTCTTAAGAAAAGAACCAGTGGGCAGTCAGTCTAAGGATAAAAAGTCCAAACCTTCAGTTACTTGAGGAAGCTTTGTGTGGAAATTCTTGTTTATAAAACAGGGATCGCCTGTTTATATGCATGTATATAGTGTCATTTGTTATGTTAACCTACTCTGCAGTTGAGCTGTTCTTCATATATTACTTAGTTTGATGTTCCTGTTGACTTATAGAGAAAAAGGAGCAAACCGGATTACTATATTCTGCCATCTATTTCCTGTTTTCTTTGAAGAAACCACTATAAGGTGCATTCAAATCAGATTAGTTAACCCTAACAAGAAAAGAATTGCAAAGCTGATCAAATGGGTACAAAATGTTTTGTGAGCTTCAAAACGATTACAGACGATTAGAGAGGCAAGGATGAACGTTTTACGAGTTGTTAATTACTTTATAATTAACAGACCTTATCTTGTGTGTAATTTCCAGTTGTTATTAAAAGGTAAATGACAAGTTTAATAAATTGAAAGCAGAATAGAAGATTAAAACATTTGTTTGGCATGTTGCATCTGGCCAAGTAATTGCTAATGGATTAAAAACTAGTTCATAACGAAAATACAAGAAAGGGAATTAATATTTATCACTGGCATAGGCATGACTAAACTCTATTTTTAATTTCCAAGGCCACGCTTTCAATAGAAGAAGAATCTTGATATCAGCTGGCGGTATTTCATTTTGTTACGGCAGTAGAAGTACACGAAAAAATAAAACGTTAAAACTATACAAAGCTTCAGTTGTCAGTAAGAAAAGTTCAAGATGTTGCATAAGTTCTTTATTTTGGAATTCACCAGCCAACAATTTGAGCAGTCTGACTAGATTGTTCCTGGAGCGTGAGCAAGGACACGACTATGTGACGGTTGACTCTGAAATGGTTAATTTTTCGCGACGACGAACGAAAGCTGCATGTCTGGGACTCCTTTTTTTCTCCCAAGAGCCTGTACGGATGCCTTAGACCCAATTTTT